TATTGGTGAAGGGATGGAGGGGGCCTATTGGTGAAGGGATGGAGGGGGCTTATTGGTGAAGGGATGGAGGGGGCTTATTGGTGAAGGGATGGAGGGGGCTTATTGGTGAAGGGATGGAGGGGGCTTATTGGTGAAGGGATGGAGGGGGCTTATTGGTGATGGGACGGAGGGGGCTTTGCTTTATGAATGATATATGGTTATGCTTTATGATATTACTGTATTGATAATGTAAGGTCAGGCGTCATCATTGGATGGATGATATGGGGTTAGGGGTCATCATTGGATGGATGATATGGGGTTAGGGGTCATCATTGGGTGGATATGGGGGGGGTGGGGGGTCATCATTGGATGGTGTTAGTGGTCATCATTGGGTGGGTGATATGGGGTTAGGGGGTCATCATTGGATGGATGATATGGGGTTAGGGGTCATCATTGGATGGGTGATATGGGGTTAGGGGGTCATCATTGGATGGATGATATAGGGTTAGGGGTCATCATTGGATGGGTGATATGGGGTTAGGGGGTCATCATTGGATGGGTGATATGGGGTTAGTGGTCATCATTGGAGGGTTGATATGGGGTTAGTGGTCATCATTGGATGGGTGATATGGGGTTAGTGGTCATCATTGGATGGGTGATATGGGGTTAGGATTTTGGTGATTTGGCTGCTGTACACGTGGCAGGTTGGGATTTACTTTTGGTGGTTTCGGCTTAGGGTTAGAGGGGGTGACGTCTCTGCATACATCATTTATATTTTTAGGGTTACGGTCCTGAAATTCTAATGTTATCCTTTCGGTCCTACAGATACCCCCCCTGAGGTCTATATCTCTGCCTCCCTCCTTCCTGTCTTCTCACCCATCATCTCTGCCTCCCTCCTCCTGTCTTCTCACCCATCATCCCTGCCTCCCTCCTTCCTGTCTTCTCACCCATAATCTCTGCCTCCCTCCTTCCTGTCTTCTCACCCATCATCTCTGCTGTTTCAGGCCTGTCCTCCCTGGTAATCCTCTCCACAGGAATGGGGAAATCTCTGTGTTATCAGTTGCCAGCATTTCTGTACTCCCAGCGGTCTCCATGTATCTCTCTGGTCATTTCTCCACTGGTTTCTCTTATGGATGATCAGGTAAAGTTCTTAGTTCTTCTACTCTCCATTTTTGATTTTCTTTTGGAGGAAATTTGAGTAATTAAAGGGGCTCCAGGTATGGAGGGGGCGAGTAGACGAGGTGGGGCTCCAGGTATGGAGGGGCGAGTAGAGGAGGTGGGGCTCCAGGTATGGAGGGGCGAGTAGAGGAGGTGGGGCTCCAGGTATGGAGGGGCGAGTAGAGGAGGTGGGGCTCCAGGTATGGAGGGGCGAGTAGAGGAGATACAACATTTTGCCTAGGGGGCCCTGTGATTTCTTGTTACTTGCATGGACCAGGGTCTGGACATGGGGAATATAGACGATGGGGCTCTGGGTCTGGATATGGGGAATATAGACGATGGTGCTCTGGGTCTGGACGGGGTGAATAGAAGGGATGGGGCTCTGGGTCTGGACATGGGGAATATAGACGATGGGGCTCTGGGTCTGGACATGGGGAATATAGACGATGGGACTCTGGGTCTGGACATGGGGAATATAGACGATGGGACTCTGGGTCTGGACATGGGGAATATAGACGATGGGACTCTGGGTCTGGACATGGGGAATAAAGACGATTGGGCTCTGGGTCTGGACATGGGGAATAAAGATGATTGGGCTCTGGGTCTGGACATGGGGAATATAGACGATGGGGCTCTTGGTCTGGACATGGGGAATATATAGACGATGGGGCTCTGGGTCTGGACATGGGGAATATAGATCATGGGGCTCTGGGTCTGGATAGATGAGTGGCACACCCTGATGGTTCCTGCTAATAATGTTTCTCCCCCGTGTAGGTGTCTGGTCTTCCTTCGAAGCTTCAAGCCGTTTGTATTCATTCCAACATGACGAAAAATCAGCGAGAAGTGGCTATGGACAAGGTGAGCTCTCCTATGTATTGTATCTGTGTGAGGGTTACACAGGTACACCCTCCATGTGTCCCCCTTGTAGAGTCTACTAGTCCTGCTCTGTCGATGTGGAGGAGGGGAGCACCTTTGGTGGAAGGCTTTCTTTATATTGTAATGGAAATATGAGGGGGACAGTTTTACTGATTCAAACCATGGAGGATTTATACAGCAGGTGTATTTGCTACTGGTAAGGACCCTTAGGGGTTGGAAATCATAGGCTGGTGTACCATTATCCTGATTTTTATTGGAACCTCCTCCCATTGTCCTGCCGGTTCCAATTTGTTCTCCTTTTGATCATTTTAGGTGAAACAAGGCAAGGTGCATGTGCTGCTCCTTTCACCAGAGGCTCTGGTTGGTGGAGGTCTCTCAGGATCCAGTTGTTTGCCTCCGGCTGACCAGCTGCCCCCAGTGGCCTTTGCATGTATAGATGAAGTTCACTGTGTCTCGGAGTGGTCCCACAATTTTCGGCCCTGTTATCTTCGGCTATGCAAGGCGAGTATGGATTTCTCATTCTCCGACATGAAAAGAACTCCTGGAACTAATCAGTCGGAGCTCACCAACTGTTCTTTTCTCAGGTTCTTCGGGAACGTCTCGGTGTTAGGTGTCTTCTTGGCCTTACAGCCACAGCCACCCTGGGTACTGCTCAAGATGTGGCCCGACACCTGGAGGTGTCCGATATTGACAAGATGCCTCTACGACTGGCAGCTGTACCCCCTAATTTACACCTATCTGTGTCCATGGACCAAGACCGGGACCAGGTGACATCATTGTATTCTAAAGGGTGTAATAAGTGGCAGTGGTGAAAGGTGTCTGTATGTAGAGATGGGGGTACAATATATAAAGGACATGGGGTAAGATATGATACAATGAGGGGGTAAGATATGAGGGGGGGGGGGGGGTGGGATGTGTATGTAGAGATGGGGGCACAATATGTAAAGGACATGGGGTAATATATGATGGAATGAGGGTGTGAGGAGGAGGTCGGGGGATGGTGGTGGGATGTGTATGTAGAGATGGGGGCACAATATGTAAAGGACATGGGGTAA